TTATCCCCTGAAGTTTTACTTTCTTTGAACTGAGCCTCTTTTATCTCCCACTGCCAGTTGACTCGAATTGAGTAAATAAGTTTAGATAGTATCAAAAGTGAACAATATGCGCTCTTAACGTTCCGCTGTCTTAACATCAAAGGGCAACTGTACCGTCTTCTTTCTAGCCTCTTTACAGTTCAACAATACGCTAGTTTGTCATTCCTTTGGTTCTAGTTAGCCGCGCCCAAGTTGTCCATGTCCAATTAGCGGGCATTTGTGGCCGTCCGGCTTTGACGACCAGCTGATAGAAACAGAAATGATCCACTAATTAAAAGGATTCCTGGGACCCGAACCTTCCAGAAGGCTGATATGACTTAATCTCCCATTTTCATTAACAACTTACCCTTTTCATGCCACTCTTAAGTCGGTATCATATTTTTTCCTTAATCTAGCGACACAACAGACCAACAATTCTACTTACTGGTCTCCACGTACCGGCATCAAAGTTCCTGGTTCGAGCTGGCACCTTGCATGAATGGTTTTTTGGGTCTGTGGTGAACCAGCCAAAGAGCAAGTGGTACGGATGAAAAGTAGGGAAAAATTACTACTCGCTGTCCCTTCCTTGTACAGGAAGTACAGGAAGTACATATTTTCCTCTTTCTACATAGCACTGCCCTAATATTGTTCTAAATTTAGCCCTATTTGTGTGTCTAATCAGTCTTGTCAACTAAAATTGGGGTTGCATTTGTGTCTTATTGTTATGCCATGCAGTGAGCTCGTTTTTGCAATGGTGACTCCCGCTTTGTATGCAAGGGTCTGAAGAAGTGATTCATAGGTCGGTCTCTCTAAATGACCAAATAGTCTCACTGTAAGCCAAAGGAGGATTGCTGTGAAGTGAAGACGGCTGGATTTTGTGAAAAAGTCTTCGGTTCACCGTCCTATGGACCCAAAAAAACTAACCTAAGCCTTGATCTGTCATGCTGTGGCAGACAACAGCATAGAAATATTTCAGACTTTACGAAATAGAGCAAAAAATATACTAAGCCATCTCTTTCTCTTGGTTGAGTATATTTTTTTCGTTATTCCGTAAAGTATGGATTCTTGCTGCGATGATGTCTATCACAGTACAGACAAAAGCCTGGCACAGGTTCATCGGGGTGGCAGGAGGGTGAGCCGAGAACTTCTTCGCATAATCGTACAGTCTTCACTCTGCGGCAATCTTGCCTGGCTTTTTGTGAGAACACTTCACCAATTTATTCTAATTTTTTCTTCGAAATATAAAGTCATTTCACAATATAACTCCATCAACACTTCTACCGGTCCCAACTAATTAGTAGAACACCGAAGATTCATGCAATATGGCTTTTCGGAATCTATAGTCCAAATTTGATTGAACATCAACCGTGGAGGGTTTGATTTCTAACAAGACCTCAAGCAACTCTGAACGGACGAAGCAATTCACCATCGTCCAGTCGTAACTCCATTATTTTTCCATTCCTCTGTTCTCCGCTCTCCTCTTTTCTTCCTCTTGTTTGACCTCCTCTACACTCTTCTGTACTTCAGTTTTTTCATTATTTTTTTATTATTCCGCCAGTTCTCCTCTTTTATTTGCCCAATTTCTAGCCCTCTAAAACACTTGGCCGCACTGCATCTCTCCCATGAGACAGATCTCTCTAAGTCCCATTATATCTCGGCGAGTATTAAGTATTCTTGCCCACATCTTGCTTCCTATCTTCAGAGTATACATCAACCTATTTCCTTTAGCAAGCAGAAGACATTTACCACGACGTTATCTATACCATATATGTGTTAATATACCTGTTTTGTTCTAAATAGATATATCTATATATTGACATATACTTTTTTTTATTATATTATATTTGTTCTGTCCTTTTGAATTTATCTTTTCTAACCAAAATAATGAATATATATATATATATATGTATATAATTTGAGAGACAAGCCATATTTTTAAATATTAATATCAAAATTTTTATAAATCTATTTCATTAAATCGGTGGACGATTAAAATAGTATTGACGCGTAAAATCCATTTAGAGAGGACAAAGAACGCCTCAGGGGATACTGCTCTTACTTGCACAGATTCTCCTATTTCTTATTAGAAATCTGTTGTGGAGGGCTCCGGAATGTAGCTATTAAGCTTTGACTTTTAAAAATATCTATTGCACTAGAAGAAGTGGTGCAAGTATGGACCCTTTTTCTAGCATTACATTTATTACACGTTTTCCAAATATTACTTTTCTTAGATATTAATTCAGACTTTCATTAAGGAATATTGGTAGATTTAAAGCCCAAGCGTCATAATTAACATTTAAAAGCATATAAAAAATTGGTCTGTAGAAAAACCGGTTTTCCAAGAATCCATTGATAGATTGATTTTGGCATACCTTTCATTGCGTTTGAAAAGGTGAGTGGAAGGAATTCTTAGTTTGGCCTGACTGGTAGACAAAGGAGGCTTGTCTTGGAGCTTGAGTGCAGATTTGTCAGAATAAGTCTGACGCCCACCGTCCGGCGAACCCGATGTATTTTTGCTGAAGTTTCTTCCGTTATTTAACGGACATCTTCAGATCAGGACACCATGTTTTAAGATAATTAACAAAAACAGGAGTACAAGTCTCAAATCTGGTTTTAATTTTCACACTAAGCGCATGCACACATCAAGCGTGTAATGGAACGCATTTACATATTTCATGATTTCAGGAACAAAAAAATGCAGATGATTTAGGAAAGGATGCAGCCTTTCGGCCACAATTGCAGCCACTTCATATTTAAACAAGAGTTAAACAGGAATGTATGATATCCAGCCAGCTCATGAGGTGTTTGATTAAGTGTACAAAGTTTGAGTAAATTATCGCAAAATATGGTGTACTGGTCTGAAGGTGTTTTTTTACTTGACGAACGATAGCATAACAAAGACTAACCCGCGTCGCGAGACTGTGAGTAGAGGAATTTTTTGCATAAATCTACAAGTACAACACCAAGGCTTCTGGTTTGGGAACTTATGAATCCCTGCCATTTGCCTCTTCAAACTCTTGATCATAAAATACTTGCTCAAAATTAGTAAGATGATCTATAGAGTTGTCACATTGAGATTGGCAGAAGGCTCAATCATGTCGTCGAATTTTACATGGCCTTGACTCAAAGGCTTTATAAAGTGACCGAAGGTAACAATAGTTCCTACAAAATGTTTACTGAGATTTTCAGGTACTAGTCAATTTGTCTAAACTCCCTTGCCTCTAATACTTTCGCCTTTTTGTACAATTATTGTCTGTCTTGCCATTCATCTCGTCAGCAAAAAGTAAGCAACACCTAATCTTAAGTTTCCTCCATTGAGCTTGTTGAACTTTTTCCGTTTTACTAAAGTGGAAAACCGTTTGTCTCCTCTAATTTATGCATTTATTTCACCCAGTCGATCACAAGTGTTTTCCTTTCATAGTTCCAGCCTATTTTTATTCTAAAATAAAAGTGAAACAAAATTCAATTAGCGCTTTCATATAATAAAATGTGGCCTAATTAAAGAGAAGAATTTCTCTTTACAATCTAATCCAAACTCAGGATTTCATCCTCTTTGGGCTGCAATCTAAACATAATCTGGGAATAGGCATCACTCCCAGCGGGAGTCGAAGTCAGGGCGTACGGAACTAAAGCTAAATATCTCATTAGCTGCTATGCACGCCATTGTAGATGTAGAGTTTCAGAGAGGGCATGAAATGTAAGAGAACAGACATCCACTGAAATGGGTAACGAGTCTATATGTGAAACACGCCTTGGGGTCGGATTCCGCTGTGGATGAGGATCGGAATCAGGAGAGGTTTATAAAGAAGTTAGTTCTGGGCAAAGCTCAATTTTTAAGATAATTGAAATTGTAGGATTTTGCGGAACAACCAAGGTTTTACTTTATATGATTTGTAAGCAACCTATTTCGGTTAAGGTGATAAGGGGACTGGAAGTTAAATTTTCCTTCAGTCATGTGTATAGACCTTGCGATTCTATTGAATTTTAATTAGCATTACTTCCAAAAAGGTATTTTCATCCAGGCTGGAGTAGACTGCAGTTTCCACCTCCAGTGGAACTCAAGCCATGGTGTTAATGACTACGCTACATTGCCACTAGTGCTCTTGAGGCACAGGACAGATGTGAATTTGCTTCATTTCATTGTGAACGTCTAAAACCGCTAATAAACTGAATGCTTCCCTTAAAAAGACAAATTTCCGCATAATCTCTTTTATTCAATCATCTTTATAAGTAAACTGTTTGGTCTGGGTGATCTGAGGCCTGATAGCTGGCATTCATAAGGAGGACGAGTGCCACTTAAGGCAAAGTTAAAAAAAAGATGTTAATTGATACAGGGTTTGACAAAAGCGATGCTAAATAAAACATTTGATCGCATTTATTCGAGTTGAATCCATAAAGTGGGCCATGCATGCAAAGTCTCCTAGGTATAGAGTTATCTTGTATTGGACCAAGCGCAGTGAATGCAAAATAGAAAACAAGGCAGACGTTTTAGTCTTATTATTCATTCATAAAAATTGGTCTACAGCTGATCCCTACGTTACTAAGACAAGTCCTTAACTCATGAGTTGTGATCCAAAGAGAGAACAAGAGATCGAGAACTTGAGCAGGCCAAAACAGTGAGCAAAACAAATGATATTAGTTCTACAGGCATACCCAAACGAATTGGAGGATTAGAGGACCATCGGAGTCTGATTGTGTCTACTGTTCGTTTGGCTCGTTAAATGACAAAGATAATTTGTATTCAAACTATGAATGCCGGGAGCACGCTTGGTTAAGCATACAAATGTCATTTTGGCGTATATTCAAGACAGGGAAATCGAGGTTTGGAGCGAAAATTGCACAGAAGATGACCCCTTCAGGCGATACAGACTTTTGGATTTTTAGGCAACTCTCAGCTTTGAGCTGATTATTATCCTTTTCGGTTTGGTCAGTGGATTTTATGCATTACATACTTGGGTTGGGATCGGAAAAGGAGAAAATTGATGTGGTGTCATTTAACCAGACGTACAAGAAGCGATATTCTTTGTTCATTTGTCTCTCGCTCGCCCAGAGACCTGCCCGGCTTTGCGACTGGTCGCGGCAATGTGCCCCTGTCGTCAACTGACAGTTTCCCTCGGTCTCCCATGGGCTTGCCGGATCCAAGGTTGATTCCATGTGTTGGGACTCAAATCGCCTCCGTGTCAAGAAAGTTCATTAAACATTCAGCAGCCACTCCCTTTCGTACCAACAGGCAGCGGCTAAGTCCATGTTCTAACAAAACCTCTGCCACGGGTTACCGGCCGACTCAACATGGAGGTATGCCCGATGGGGTGTCGACGGTCTTGCGTCTCCGATTTGGCCATCAACTTTACACAAGTCTGTGTGAAGAGAGCCTCAGATACCCGGTTTGCATGACACAGGAACATGCATTCATAGGAGTGGAGCCGCATTAAATTGCTCCGAAAATTGATTTAGCCTCAATAACATGCATGCTTGTCCATTCTGCAATTTTTCGTCACAGATGCAGCAATGGAGCACTCTTCACATCTTCTTGTGCTTGAGACTTGTTACTACGTACCTACGTCTGTGTATGTATGCGTATGTAGGTATGCGCGTAAGTGTGTGTAAACATGTTGTCTCCAAAGAAGATGGGAATGGATTTACAGAGCTATAATATATAAGAGAAATATGAATTCTTAAAATGCCTGAGGGGACTACTCAAGTGCAAGCTAACGGCTACTTTTTCAAAAGCCCTTTAAAGCGCATTTCTGCTCTGGTGTGCAAAGAATCTTCTGCTCTCCTGGTCTTCAGCCATGGTAACTCTAGCCTGTCTTACTTAGGAGAAATCGGAAAAGGAATTTGGTCAAATTGGTGGGCCTAATCCACACTGTCGCTGTTTATTGGCTTGAAAACTAATTGGCCCCTCACTATTGCCTAAAGTTAATTCTGACTAAGTTCCTCTCATCTTTAAATAACAGGTTGGTGTAACTTTCATTTTATGAGATTTATTCAATCTATTTCGTTTATGGTGATAAGGAGACTGACAGTTGAATTTCCCCACATTGATATGAGTAGACCTTAAGTATCCATTAAACTCCATATAACCTTGCTTTCCCAAATGGTATTCTCATCCAGAATGGACTGAAGTTTTGACTTCACCTAAACTAGTCTCATCAACATCCTTAGTCGGAATCGAGCCATGACCATGCAATGGGTAATCACGATACGTTACTCACTACGCCGCACTGTCACGAGTGACCATGGGTCACATTGCATATGTGAATTTCAAGAAATGGTAGGAATTTTCCCATATCACATTATATGGCGGGATTGTCTATGAGGCAAAGTTATACTTGTTAGAGCAATCGACTAAGTTATTTATTTTTCGTTTATAAATAGGCGCTTCGAAATTATGTATTCACCCTATTTCGTTTAGGGTGATGAAGGACTGGTAGTAGAATTTTCCCACAATCGTATAAGTAGGCATGACGTCTCCACTACATTTCACATAGCTTTGCTTTCCACAAACTCATGGTTCGAGTCCCGCTGAGGCTGTTGATAAGATCTGGCCGAGGTCGAAACTGCAGTCCACCCTTGATGAGCAGAACTTTTGGGAAAGCAAGGCTACGTTAAACTAAGTGGAAACGTCATGTATACTCATATTCTTATGGAATAAGTCAACTACCAGTCTCCTTATCTCACTAAACGAAATAAGATGAGCAAATCTCATATATATAAATATAAATATTTATATATTATCTACTGGTAGCCTCAAAAACCTGTTTATATAAAGAAAAATATCACAGATTTTGTTTGAAGAGTTGAGTAGAGAGGATTCATAATGTTTACTCCCTCATTTTATTAAGAGAGTCCTCAAAACCCAATCTTTCTTCATATCTGAGGCAACAGCCAATATATTGAATAGAGGGAAGGAGGGTAGGAAGTTAAATGCAAAGTACTTGGGGTTGTTGAAGAGAGGGAGAAGAAGCAGTAAGAAACTCCGAGCAAGATAAGGATGAAATAGCTTTAGATCTCGTTAGGGCCCCAATTCCTCATATGTATTTAATACAGTAGTCAAATAATAAACGTGCAACCACATGCCCAAATATTTGTGATTACCCATCGACTCC